TTTATGGAGTAATGTGGGTTTCATAACCTGACAAACTAAAAGGTTTTTATGTTATAACAACAGACATATTTTTCTACATCTATGCAAATATATATGTAATATTTTGTAAGTTGAATAAGTAAAATAATTCAGAGTTATTTAACATTAAGGGGTAGTTGTGTTTATTTTACATTACATTTAGTTAAATTTAGCTACATTTATACTGTCTTGCAGTTACATCTGGCCCTTTGAGGGCAACCATTATGCTGATGTGGCCCTCGGTGGAAATGAGTTTGACACCTCTGATCTAATGTTTTTATAATTGTTTACCTCAAACATTTGTCCTTCAACAGACAACTCAAACCGAAGCGATCCAGTCTTTGACACGCTGAGAGTTGGTGTCATCATGGCGAATAAGGAGCGCAAAAAGAATGAAAATGACAAGAAAAATGTGAGTGTTTGTTGCATTTATACCAAAACAGAAGCAAAACAATACACACTGCAGACACATATTTGCTGGCATAAAGGAAATTTTAAAACATTAGTTTTGTTTTAATGTTTCATTAAGACATAAGTGGGCTGTCAGTAAATTCGGACATTTGTTTAACGCTGACCTTTAGATGATGATGATGATGGAAGAAGAGGAGGAGGAGAACCAACATCCCAAAGAACATGAGGAGGGAGGAGAAGGTACACTATTTGCATTTTGTTCATTAATAGCATGATAATTATTAACTATGCAAAATAATATCAAGTGGATACAACAAGAGGCTTTAAAAGAAGTAAAAACTGAGTTGTGGACTCTGTTGTGCACACAGGGAAACCTGAAGATAAAAAAGAGAAAGGTGGAGACAAAGCAGACGACAAGGTGAGAGCAATCACTTTAACAGGCAGCTGCGTGCAAACCGTCCCAAATCCTTTTCATTTGTCACAAAAATCTGCATCTTTGCTGTTCTGTCGACAGAGTAAAGGAGCTTTTACTGGATCCCACTACTACCTGGCCCTTTACCGTTTCAAGGCTATAGAGAAAGACGACCTTGACTTCCAGTTAGGATCAGCTTTATTATTTTTTATAATTTTATGAACAGAAAAACATCCAGTCTTTAGTCTTGTATTGCTGAATTAATCTTAATTTAGATGAAATTACTACATTAGTTTAATAAACACAATGCGTGTGTGTTTGTTAGCCCTGGTGATCGGATCATAGTCCTCGATGACTCCAACGAGGAATGGTGGAGGGTTAGTTTGACTTTTTCATTGTAGAAGCTCTAAACATGTGGACTCAATGTGTGTTACTGCTGAAGATGTGTCCTGTGTCATCAGGGGAAAATGGGGGAGAAAACAGGATATTTCCCTGCCAACTACCTCATCAAAGTGCGAGCATCAGAGAGAGTTTACAAGGTGACCCGCTCCTTCGTGGGCAACAGAGAGATGGGACAAATTACACTCAAGAAAGATCAGGTAACTTTCCCAACAACAGGCTTCAAATCACTAATTTGCCCATTCATCGGTCTGAGGCCTTAACAGATGTTTGAAGTCAGCTCTGATCCTCCGCTGTCACTCGGTTTCAGATTGTGGTGAAGAAAGGAGATGAGAAGGGCGGCTACCTGAAGGTCAGCACAGGACGCAAGCTGGGCTACTTCCCTGCCGATTTGCTTCAGGAGATCACTGTGACATAACCACTAAAATAAAAAACAGAAAAAGGGCTGAAACACTTTAAATATCGACGTCAACTGGACACTTCTGTTCAACAAAATGATCTGATTTTCTACACTTTTGCACAGGAGAATGAGTTGACTTGTGTTTGCTGTGATATAGTTTTGCCTTCAGCATACAGATGATTATTTAAATGATCATTTTATTAATAGTCTCAGTATAGTGCGCTTTGAGTAGCATGGTGACACAGTTTTGGTTCCTGCCTTTTGATTTTAGCACAGATTTTAAGAAGTAGAGAATCGTCTGAATCATTTTTAGCAGTCACTGAGTATCTGTGAAGGTTGGATATTAAAATAATTTGTCATTTTTAAACCAGTTTTTATGAAAATTTAGGAAATTCACACTCTGGGTTCCTGTTCTCACAAATGTAGATGCGAGCAGATTAAAACATCAGAGAAAAGTAAGAGCTGACAAGTCTACGAGACATAAAGTAGATCAATGTTCAGGTTAAATAGGACTAAAGACATATTTAAATTTAATTCTACACATTAAATAAGAAATTGATTGGGTCTCTTTTTTGTTTGTTCTTAAAATAAAAACATTAAAAACATTGATGTCTTCTTTGGTGTTTTATATTTCACTCGTTGCAGAGAGCCTGGAACAGCATTTTAATGTTTAAGTAGATTCATACTGACAAGAAGTAAAAGAATGAATGGCTAACAAATGTACATTTTGACACAGTTTAAGTAACTAAAAACTTGGAGCTACTTTAGGAAAAGACTGCACTATAAAAACAATATGGTTCAGATAAAATCAATAGCAAGTGCTATACAATAACACATGCATGTTGCTTTTTTTTTTATATAAGTTTTATTTAAGTGTCGTACATTTAGTCAATTCAAAATATTAAACAATGAAAGAAACCAAAAAATAAAATAAAATATAAAATAACAAGAATACTGTACATCTATCATGTAGATTTGGACACAGGCTCTGTCCAGATGAAAAGAAGCCCTGGATGAGTGCAGTGAACTTCACCAAGTTATCTTGTGTTCAAGAGCTTTTTTATTCAACCTTTATTTAGACAGATAAGTCACATTGAGCCTAGCAGCTATTAACAGACTCCAGCTGAAGTATTGACATGATCAAATATTTTAATCCTACAAATAAATAAATACTTATCCTTGTCCCCATAGTTAAACAAAATAACTTCTAACTCAATCCAGAGCATATATGGCTCCCAAAATCTACAGTCGTTGGCTAAATGTTTATTATTTATATAATAAATTATTAAATTAGATAATCATCGATCTATAATATTAAATTATATAATAAACAACATCTATTATTGTAATAAACTGATTATTCTTCTTTCACTGCTGCCCCCTGCTGGAAGTAATGTGAAAATACAGGAAAAATATAACTGTGCTTGTTTGATCTGCAATCGTCTTCAACTCTAAAACAGAAAGTATCCTAGTTGATACACAATAACAACTAGTTTAACGTAATTTCTTCTGAGTTATTGGGTGACCCTTGAGAAAGGGGTTTTAATGGCGCTCACGTACTTTGCGCGCCCTCTTGTGGTCATGTATAGTCACTGCATGTCAGCCCCGCTGTCTGCTTCATTTTGAAATAAATAAATTTGCAGATCGTTCTGTATCATAATAATCATGTAATCATACGTGTTACGTCTAAAACAACAAGATAAATTGTTTTCCTTGACAATGTCGAGTTAATTATGTCCATTTGGACCTTGAAGACTCGATAATCAGTTCATTCTTTATTTAAAATATATTTTGAACTTACATGACTGGGGTATAAAACAGATGACTAACATAAAACAAAACGTAAGTTTCTACTTTGTGAAAATGTAAGTTGCATTTTAATAACACTAAACTCAAGACTTAAAATCAAAGGTTATGATTACATAATCAGTACTAATGAAATGTCAGCAAAAAAAATTGTTTTTGCGCCCTCTCGTGGCAAATTGTGTCCATTACATTTCTGCATCTTTTTTTCCTGTGACACTCTGACATGTTTATTTAAAAATAATTAAATAGCTTGAGTTCTGTTTCAAATTAGGGAAAGAGTTACAAATATAAATTGATTAAATAATAATTTTTACTGGGCAGCAGCAGCAATAAACTAAACTTTAAAGTTTCCAACTTTATATGAATTGAGTGGAAAACAGATTCAAAGCAAAGATATTCACTGGCAAATAAGGTCTTATTACTTATTAGGTGTTTATATTTTATATAAAAAATACAAACTACATAGAAGAAAATTTTGAATCGTTATTTCAAAAGTTTATCAGTTAAAATGTCACACAAAAATGACACAAATCTACTTAAAATGTGTAAAATAGATTCAACCTCATTTAAATTTTGCAAGCAAACATACAGTTTTACACAAACAAAGTATGTTTCAGAACATGTGACTTCCTTTGGTTTAACTGTTCCCAAACTGAGCAGGTTTAGAGCTTTTCACCTCCATCACCCCTCTGCTTCTACAGCGTGAAAATCTCCTTATTATCACACAGCTTCATTAAGAACCTGTACTTAAGATACATTCTTGCCTTGGTTGGAACTTGGGGAGATTTGATAGTATAAAATGTCCAAGATATAGTTGGAGGTAGTGATGTTCACCCAGCTGTCTATATATATATATATATATATATATATATATATATATATATATAAAACATTCTCCTGCAGTGAGTCCCTGTCATTTTGTCAGCCTCCCTGCGGCTAAAGTATGAGGGGACAGCAGGGATGGCTGTCAAACCAAGCCTGTCTGAGAGCGCCTTTCCTCGATGAGTTATAATGAGGGCCAGCCCGGTGGTTCAAATGATCATGAAGGCAAGCAATGTGTGTGTGTGTGTGTGAGAGTGTGGGTGTGTGTGTAAAACACAGCACAGTTTGCCATCAATTAGTCCACAGCAAATATGAATTGTCCTCTTCTGGGTTCTTACCTTCTGAATAAAATGTTGCTGAGGTATGCTTTTTAAAAGTGTTTTGCCTATATTAAGTTGAGTCGTGTGTGTGTGTGTGTGTCTGTGTGTGTGTGTGTGTACTGAAGAGGAGAGAGAGAGAGAGAGAGAGAGAAAGCAGAAGAAGCTCAGCAGTATAAAAAGGAGGAGAGCTGAGCTGATTCTCTTCAAATCTTGGTGTTTTTTGAGTCTCTTCCAGTCAGGAAGTGAGAGGTTCAGGCTTTAATCCAGGAAATCACCCGGACGGAGGAATCTGCTCTTTGGATGGAGAAACGCTGCTGCAGGATGATGACTCTGTGTTTGAACTTTGCCATCACCTGTTTGTGGCTCCTTCCCTGGACGGTGAGTGTGGTCTGCTGCTGAGGATGTGCTCGTTATTTACAAAGTCTTCATGTTCTCGCACTGACTGCAGGGGAGCATGTGGTTCTTATTAGACTTATGGCAATAAGACTTTGCTCTGCTCGTCCCAGTTAATTGCTGCACTGTAGCATGATGAAGACTCAGTCACAGCTGCTTCTGCATGGAAAGTTAAGATAATCCTCGGATTTGCACAAATTTTAAAAGAAAACTTGGAATTATCTTGTAGGTTATTAGAAAAACTTCTGTTCAGTCTCAAAAGTTTCATCAATTAGATTCCATTCCTGAAATCGTGAACTTCAGAATTTCGTTGATTAAAAAGTGTTGGTTGTTTGAACAATACAAATTAGATTTTAATATTGTGAAAAAGTTCAGATAAATGTTTTTATTTTTAAGGTATTCAGTGCTAACTATGAAAACAAACATAAACAGGTTTTCTTGATCTTTATCAATTTCATTCCCTGCGTCAAAACTTGATCAGTGTTGACCTTCATCGTTCAAGTCATTTTATCGCCTGCTGCCAAAGAAAAAAGGATAAAGTATTTGTGCACGTTTGTTTGACTGTTATCAGAAAATCTCTTGAACCATTTGACAGATTTTAATGAAACTTTTAGAAAGAAAGCATTAAAAATGCATCTACAGCTCATTAACTTTAGGAGTCAAACTTACCATATTTATTGGACTATAAGGCGCACTTAAAATCCTTTTAATTTTCTCAAAAATCAACAGTGAGCCTTATAATCAGGTTCACCTTATGTATTAATTCTGGTTTTGCTGACTGACTTCAAATCGATTTTATTTGGTTATTGTGAATGAGTTGAATAAAGTTTGATTTATCTGACTTTTGTTTCGCTTAATGTGCCTTATAGTCCAACAAATACAGTGTTCAAGTTGGCTGCCACAGTCAGTTGACCTTAGCAAAAAAATAAAAAAAATACTGTCAGTAAAAAACAAATATTATAAATATTGAGCTGAAAATTGGTGTGGAATCAGATGAGAGTCATTAACAACACACAGCACACGATCGGAGCCCTATATCTTATCTTAAAATGTTTTTCTTTAACTGTTGGCATCAATCTGGTCTCTCTGTTAGCAAATATTTTATGAACAAATGAGAATTATTAAAAAAAAAATTGGATTCATATATATATATATGACTAATTAGCAGTTAGCAGACATTAGCAGAAACAAAACAGCTAAAACTCAGTCAGTTTCACAGAAACTGAGGTGGATTACAAGATTTGACCCAAACGTCTTCTCAGAATGTGAAAATCTTTAATACTTGAAAAATGACGGGTGATATGCATCCGTTCAAGGAACCCTGGGGTTTTAATATTCAAGATTAATGTGTGTAATTTAATTTTTTTCTATTATTGTCCAAGCATCAGATTGCATCATTGTACTTTAACACTGATGTCATGTGAAAACCTCAAAACAACCTAATTTTCATTTCATCACTTGAACTAAACAACTTCATCTTGTTGGGATTTTAGGCTTTTTGTTGCTTTATATTTGCCCATATCTTTAAATAAACCTGACACGTTAAGGATCCTCTCAAAAATTATATTCTCCCTGCCTTTCAACAGAATAAACACCCCGCCCAGGTGTTCTTATTATTGGTATTTTTTGCCCGTGCAGGTGCTCTCTCACATGTGTTGTGTTTGCATCCACTCCTCCGCCGCAGCTCAGCTGCAGTCGTTGTGCTGGCATCTTGACACTGAGCCGGTGACACGGCTGTCACATCGTGAGCTCCAATTAGAACAGGTGAGAGCAGCACGGAGCTGCAGATTTGAAGCCTGCAACAATAGGCACAGCTGGAGCTCACCTGGGTACAGGCACACATCAGGATTGACATGGGCTGCTTTAGGAGGGGGAGCTGGGGGTCTCACTAGTCTGAAAGAAATAATGATCCCCTGGGAGATGTTTATCCTGAAATACAAGTATTTCCTTAAACTTTTGTCTGCTCTGGCCATGTAATGATGAGCAGCCCACAAGCGTGCAGCCTGTTTTCATGTCAAAACAGGCAGGAAGAGTCACACAGCATGATTATCTCCTGCTGCTGTGTAAGTGTGCTTGTCTGTTAGTAAAATGTGTCCTGAAGCAGCAGATAGGATTTTAATGAATCTTTCAGAAAGCAGACGGACAGCTGTAACTGATTAACGACTCACACGAGGAGCTGGGAAAAAAAAACAACGTTCATTTATTTTAACAAAAGGCTGATGTGGCAGCAAAAGCTTACAACTAATAATCAAGAAGACGTGGAGGAGAGAAGTAAGAAGGAGGCAAAAGGAAAACTGGACATGGCATAAAGCACAACAATGCTCCACTGAAGATGTAGTGGAGACTGAAAGACTAAATATGGTGGGGCTAATGAGGAGATGGCTGAATATGGGACTGATCGTGGGAAACAGGTGCTGGAGGGAGTGGCAGGAGGAGCAGGAAGTGGCTCAGTAAAAGTCCTGAGAGAATGAAGTGGTGGCAGCTATCAGAGGAACAAAACTGAACACAAGAATACAAAAATAAAAAAATAAAAAATAACAATAATAATAAAATAAAATACCACGGAAAATAAAGGGGAGTAAAACTTCACAAAAAACAATGAACCTACTAAAACAATGATACAGATTTTGACATTAACATACTCAAGTATACAGAAAATTAGATACATTTTGACGTGGTAGTAGCAGAGACTCATCCACTTCATGCACTTTAAGCACTGACAGATCAAGCAAGATATTAGCATATTGCACATTTGCAAGGTTTGACCAAAATAGCTGCAACTTTGATCCTTCTCATCAGAAGTTTAAGGCAGCAGGTGGGTGGATTATTTGATTAAAATGTATTTTTGATGACAGAAGATACGACAGACCAGTTTTTTTTATAAAGCATACTGTACAACAGTGCTGTTTAATCAAATCACATTCATATTCCTTGCTTTAACATCCCCACTAAGGATTTAATTAATCTAAATTTGTCTTTTCTACTGGACACTACAGCAGGAAATTGCCTGGTTTAAAGTGTTAATATATTATCTCAAAGGGTTGCAGGCTGAAGGAGCCACTCATGTCCCACTCTGTGACTAATGGTTTCTTCTCTGCGGTGGTTATTAAAATTAAATGACAGTAATATCTCAAACATTACAAAGCATTTATCTCTATAATAGCATTAAACAGCAAATGTGCTGTAAACTCTCTGAGAGCTGGCCAGTAATTCTTTGTTGTCTTGTTTAATAAAAAAATAAAAAATTCTTAGTGCAGACGTGGGCAACTTAAGGCCCGAGGGCCAAAAGTGGCCCTTGGAAAATGTACCTCAGGCCCCCAATATCCTTAGATAAAAAAAATATATATATAATACTTTTACACAAAAAAGATTGATTAAAAAAACCTGCAATTTATCAACAAGATTTAAGGAAATTTAAATTAAACATCTTAAGCAAAACTTTTTTAAAACATTTTTTAAATCTTAGTGTTTCCATAACTAGACTGAACCTTGAAGACTTAGAAACACAAATAAATATGTTTGTTTTGCATATTTCAGGTAACTTGTATAACATATAAGCTAATGTGTATAACGTGATAAAGATAATGTGTATAACATGTAAAGCTAATGTGTATAACATGTCAAGCTAATGTGTATAACATG